CGCCGCGCCATTACGGAGATATGGCCGTTCAAAGTTTCAATGGTTTTCCATAGACTTAAGCTTTAAAGCGTTTCATCCAGGTCACCAGTAGCAAACAATGGAGCGCACTCTGCTGGACAAACTAAGTAATTGCACAATTTAGAAGCATTTCATCTGCGTTATATGTTCTGTTAAAAAAATTTTCACATCCGCGGTATATTCGCCGATACCGATATATCTGTGACAGGCTCATATCGGCCGATAATATCGGCAAAACGATATATCGGGCAGGCTCTAGTGATTGCTTTGTCATGTATTGCAGTTGTGTTTTGAACTGCGATATGACATTTCATTTGACATAAAATGTCTCATGTTGCTAATGGAAATAATTTTAAAGTTTTGTTCATACTCAGAGTGTTGGTTCTTGTAAAGAGAAGTTACATGCTCAAAGGGAAATTCCTACAAATGCATATTCAATAAGGTCAGGTGCAAAAATAACTGCGTCCACGCCTTTTCAGCGCTAATTCTTCACTGCGCGTCTTTAGTTAATCCTGACAGTACTATTTTAACGCCAAAAGACGGTTTGCGCTGGCACAAGCTGTTAGTAAATCTACCCCGTTATGTTTTAGACGTTTCATCTGCTCACCAAGGCTGCATTTATTTATTTATCAAAATAGTAAAAGTAGTAATATTGTGAAATATTACATTTTGAAATAACTATTTTGATGCTTAATATTTTGTGGAAACATTGTCAGGATTATTTGATGAATAGAAACATTGTAACATTATAAATGATTTTACTGTCTCTTTTAATCAATTTAATGCATGTACTGTATGCTGAATAAAAAAGTATTAATTTCTAATAAACACACAAACATTTGAATGGTAGCATATCATGGCTTCTGCATAAATATGAAGCAGCACAACTGTTTTCAACATTGATAATAATCAGAAATGTTTCTTGAGCAGCAAATCAGCATATTAGAATGATTTATGAAGGATCATGTGACACTGAAGACTGCAGTAATGATGCTGAAAATTCAGTGCTTCATCACAGAAATCAATTACAATTTGACAGATATTCACAGAGAAAACAGCTGTTTTAAATTGTAATATCACAGTCCTTAGTGGACCTGTTCTCAGGCTGCAAAATCACAACATTTCAGTTCCAAGCGGAGGCTTTATTTGAAGAGCGAGTTTGCGGTGGTCTGTCTGCAGCTGCGTGAGGAGACGTCGCTTTAGATGTCCGATAAAAACAGAGCGGTGTTTATTGAATGTTTGTGTTCGAATTGGTTTCACAGCACACGTCTCGTCAATTCGGTTTATTCTCTACAAGCGAGAGAGGGCTAATGTCATTACTGGAAACCCTGGGCTAAACGCGCCGAGCTGCCCGCAACTGTGTTCTGTTGTGTTTTTTTCCTCTTCCATCTTTCTTCCTGCAGCTGGGGGACACGCAGATCAATACTTCTCCAGCGTAAGGATCCGCCACTGAAATTTTCATTTGTTACAAATCGGCCCCAAACAGCCGGGAGGGCCCGCTGTCGCCCCGCATTAGGGAGAGCGGGAGCTACTAAAGCACTCGCCCGGGGTCACACGCGACAATAGGCAACTCCGTGCCAGCTCCCATTAGCGCACGCACAAATCCATGGCCCAAAAATTTCCGCTGAAATTACCATCTTTGGTATCCTTGTAGCAGGCTGTCAGCTGGGGAAGTGTGGTGGAGATATCTGAGCTGTCAGTGTGGCTGATACTCAGCTGGCCCTTCTGCCCTGCAGCCGCTAACTATTGCACTCCTCTCAGAGTCGCATCTGTGCACAGCAAACTTCACGTTTCACTCTCCGGGCCCGAAATGGCACCAAAGTCACCCAAAAACACCCAACGAGATTTGTTTGTATAAACGGGTTATGCATATTAATATGGCACCACACACCCAGTGCTAATTCCAATATGAATGCATTTGTAATATTTAGCGGCGTTTAGGCTAAATAAGCAGATGGTCGCTGTAGCCATGGCTGCGTCTCGTTGACTTGAGAAGATCACAGAGTTTGGGTGATGAGTCCTTAAACAGGTCTATACAAACACGGCCTTCATACATTTTTATATATATATATATATATATATATAATAAACACGCCTTCTGTAGCCTTTGATAACACATTCAGAAACTGCTTAATTACCTGGCACAAATAATCTGATAACAATATAACAAGAGGTGTGAAAACTAACAGCTTGCCAAACCTGTTAATTGTGGCTGATACTCAGCTGGCCCTTCTGCCCTGCAGCCGCTAACTATTGCACTCCTCTCAGAGTCGCATCTGTGCACAGCAAACTTCACGTTTCACTCTCCGGGCCCGAAATGGCACCAAAGTCACCCAAAAACACCCAACGAGATTTGTTTGTATAAACGGGTTATGCATATTAATATGGCACCACACACCCAGTGCTAATTCCAATATGAATGCATTTGTAATATTTAGCGGCGTTTAGGCTAAATAAGCAGATGGTCGCTGTAGCCATGGCTGCGTCTCGTTGACTTGAGAAGATCACAGAGTTTGGGTGATGAGTCCTTAAACAGGTCTATACAAACACGGCCTTCATACATTTTTATATATATATATATATATATATATAATAAACACGCCTTCTGTAGCCTTTGATAACACATTCAGAAACTGCTTAATTACCTGGCACAAATAATCTGATAACAATATAACAAGAGGTGTGAAAACTAACAGCTTGCCAAACCTGTTAATGGACGGTAAGTTACTGGCCATAAATATTTTTTAACTGGCCAAAAAAAAAAAAAAAACACAACACAACACAGGCAGAACATATTGGGAAAACATTTTTTAAACAAAATTTATGATTATTAATCAAATTAAAAAAAATTAAAGAAATATCACTATAATACTTCTGAACTCTAAAGTATTATAACTCTAAATTATTATTATTATTTTAAATAACAACAGTACTATTTATTTATTTATTTTCTCAGAAAACCGCTGGGACACTTTTCTTTTCAAATGCTTCTCTTTTGTAGACACCAGATTTATAAACTTGGAAAGATGTTTGGCATATAATGGCTCAACCATTCAGAACTTAGAGTCTGAGCTATGCATTTCAATGTACATAAAAGAACAATAACAGCATAAACAACAAAACAAGTCCTTACCTCTGACGATGAGTCCAGCAAAGTTGGAGACTCCAGATCCTCTCTCTGATTGGGTGACGCAGCGGTACAGATCTTGGTCCTGACTGGTCACTTCTCTCAGTCGGAAAGAGGCCGCAAACTTCCTGTGGTTGATGTTTTTCTTCTCCGCCACTGGAATGTCCTCTCCGTTACGCCGCTGTATGTGACAACACCAGAGACGAAAAAGTAAATATCTGCAGGTCTAACTGATTGAATCCAGTCGTGTTCCATGTTTCGTGCTTGAAGGGTTTTGTCATTTTCAGAGGAAATGAAATCTGCCGACTAGACACTTTCTGGTAGTTACTTTACAGATCAGTGTTGTTCAGGTATAGGAGGCAAAAAATGGATGAGAAAACAATCCACAGTACAAAAATAAAACAAAATCAAATGGAAATGACCTGTGATTGAGCTGCTTTTGAATGAGCATTATGCTTAAATGAAGTCTGTGGTGTTTCCTCAGGATATGTAGCCATTATTAGCCATAGCTGAACAACAGTGATATGTGTCCCTGGAGCACAAAAGCAGTCTTAAGTCGCTGGGGTATATTTGTAGCAATAGCCAACAATACATTGTATGGGTCAAAATTATACATTTTTCTTTTATGCCAAAAATCATTAGGATATTAAGTAAAGATCATGTTCCATGAAGATATTTTGTAAATTTCCTAGCGTAAATATATCAAAACTTAATATGCATTGCTAAGAACTTATATTTACTTATATCGATTTTCTCAATATTTTGATTTTTTTGCACCCTCAGATTCCAGATCTTCAAATAGTTGTGTCTCAGCCAAATATTGTCCAATCCTAACAAACCATACATCAATGGAAAGATTATTTATTCAGCTTTCAGATGATGTATAAATCTCAATTTCAAAAAATTGACCCTTATAACTGATTTTGTGGTACAGGTCATATGAAACAGTACTACTGCTTTCTTAGTTGTGGTGGTACACAGTAAATGCTGTTCCACGTGCCTTTCATCTGGAAACTGAACATGAATTTATGAAATAATTCAAACTCAGAGAAGGGTCTTCATTTCAAAAGGCCACATGCTTGTGACATGAGTAGATGATAAAGATATAGTTCTAAAAATCGTTCTTCTCAATATTAAAGGGGTCATATAATGCTGCTAAAAAGAACATTATTTTGTGTATTTGGTGTAATGAAATGAGTTTATGCGGTTTAAGGTTCAAAAAACATTATTTTCCACATACTGTACATTATTGTTTCTTCTCTATGCACCGCCTTTCTGAAACACGTAATACACAAAATAATGTTCTTTTTAGCAGCATCATATGACCCCTTTAAAGAATAGCAGAGTCCACACCACAGCTATAACGATAAAGGCACAGAGAAACGATATAGTTGGAATCACATTTTTTTTCCGGCTGATGAACGATACAAACATTGACAGCCAATCAGAATCAATCCTGCTATAATGAGCTCGAGAATTTAAAGCGGCAGATGAGCGTGCGCTTAGAATAAACAGACAATATCGGATGCTAATATTGTTATCTTTATAGTTATCGTTCTTGGTGTGAACGGGGCTTTAGGCTTGATCAGATGCTCCTGAGCGGTGAAGCTCCAGTAATATGCCTGAGTGAAGCTGTGACGGACGGCGGTCAGTGTGACAGGCCATCATCATTCATTAGCCTCTTTAACACTGCCGTCTCCTACTAGTCAGAAGACACCAGCACGTGCTTGCTTTCTTCATTTTTCCCCCTCCTCGTGGATCAGAGCAGAAAAGGTCACTTCTCCTATACACTTTACCACTTCTCGTTCAGTCCTCCTCTGCGTCTCCATACCGATACCTTGACTTCGGTACCACGCGCTGCGCATACGTGCTGCGTCATCCGCCGGAACTGCTTCAGTGTATGACAGTCAGCGGAAGTGAGAGAAAAGTGTTTATTACGTTTGAAATATGGATATGTTTCTTTAAAAAACACATGGATTCGCAACAGGAGGCCTTTATTCACCCCCCGGAGCAGTGTGAGGCTTGTTTTATTATGAATGCGTGAGCTTTATTTGACGACTTGTGGACTATTCAACTGCAACACCAGCTGACTGCAATGATAGAGCTTGGAATAGCCAGGACAATTTTTAATATAACTCTGACTGGATTCGTCTGAAAGAAGAAAGTCATATACACCTAGGATGCTTCGAGAGTGAGTAAAACACAAGCTAATTTTCATTTTTGAGTGAACTAACCCTTTAAGTACACTTTTTAAAAAAGTGCACATTGTGTTAAATTGAACGCTTTTACACTAAAGTACATTTTAAATCATGTTTTAATAATATGCTCACAACATACTAAAGCACATGTAAAGTACTTGATTAAATTTTAACTGCTGTGTTAAATTAAATTTTACGTTAATATAGAATTAGACAATAAAGCAGACTTTGACTTTGACTTTGACATTTTAAATGTACTTAATTGCAACTTCAACAAATGTGTAATTACAAATACTGAAATAAATGACATACAAGTTTCAATAGAAATTACATTAGTATTTTTTTTTGTTTATCACAAACTTTTGTCAGTACATTTAGCAGTTCACTTTAACAATATTTCAAAGATGACAGAAATAATTATGAAATTACATATAAAAATGTACTGAAGTGCTACTTAAGTGGGTCAAAAACACTCTAAAGTTCCACTAATTGGATTTAATATAAATCTAAGTATTTTTTATAAAATTTATATTTATATACATTGCATTCAGTTTGCAATTAAAGGGAAATAAGAAGATATTTTGAAGAATGCAGGTAACCAAAAAGTTTATGATTCCCATTGACTTCCATTGTGTGGAAAAAAATAAATAAATACTAATTAAATGGTGACCAGAAACCAAATGTTTGGTTACCAACATTCTTCATTATATCTTCATTTGTTTTCAACAGAAGAAAGAAACTCATAAAGGTTTGGAAACAACAGCAAATGATGACAGAATTTTCATTTTTGGGTGAACTATCCCTTTAAGTATATTCTTTTAAAGTATATTATTTCCAAAATGAGTATGATTTTAAAGTATGTTAAACTGTACTTCTTTTTTTTTTTTTTACAAGGGTAGTTATTATAACAAAACAAGCAGACATACCTACTTCTAAAAGGGAAGACAAAACAGTCCCTATATAATTTTGTGTTGATGTGAAAGATTAAAAAATGAACTGCAGTGTGAATTTTACAGGCAATAATATCATATTTTACAGTAAGAGTAAATGCAGCAGAAGCTGGACGTGTGCTGGTTTAGTACAGGGGTGTGTGTGTGTGTGTGTGCGCGTGTGTAAGTCCCACCTGCAGCCAGAGTTTGTGTGTGTGTGAGTGTGCGTGTGCGAGTGAGCATGTGCGAGTGTGTGTGTGTGTGTGTAAGTGTGCGTGAGCGTGTGCGAGTGTGTGTGTGTGTGTGAGTGTGCGTGAGCGTGTGCGAGTGTGTGTGTGTGTGTAAGTGTGCGTGAGCGTGTGCGAGTGTGTGTGTGTGGTGTGTGTGTGTGTGTGTGTGTGTGTGTGTGTGTGTGTGTGTGTGTGTGTGTGTGTGTGTGTGTGTGTGCATGAGTGCGTGTGTAAGTGTGCGTGTGCGAGTGAGCGTGTGCGAGTGTGTGAGTGTGTGTGAGTGAGTGTGTGTGTATGAGTGAGTGTGTGTTTTGCGTGAGTGAGAGTGTGTGTGTGTGTGTATGAGAGTGTGTTTTGCGTGAGTGTGTGTGTGTATGAGAGAGTGTGTGTTTTGCATGTGTGAGTGTGTATGAGTGAGTGTGTGTTTTGCGTGAGTGTGAGTGAGTGTGTGTTTTGCATGTGTGAGTGTGTATGAGTGAGTGTGTGTTTTGCGTGAGTGTGAGTGAGAGTGTGTGTGTGTGTGTGTGTGTTTTGCATGTGTGAGAGTGTGTGTGTGTGTGTGTGTTTTGCATGTGTGAG